TGAAGAGTCTGATTACTGCAATGTTTCACTTGCCTGTGGCTGCGACTTTACTTGAATGTCAAAGCTTTCCATTGTCACCACAATTCCAGTCAAAATCATCTATAAAGAGGCATCGATTTCAGACCTCAAATGTTGAGTAAATGTGTTCCTCTTTTTCTTTTATAATTCCACTGCCAAACTTGTCCATTTTTACAACATGGAATCCATGTATTTGTGTAATGTAACTTGCTTTAGTTTGATAGCGCTGTATAAGCAAGCATCACAGCTATTTTTACTTGAATACATTAAAACATGTAGGCAATATCAAACTCAGTTCAGTTTCAGGTCTCAGTAATTACCGTCTTTTGAGTTAAATGTTGAAAGTCTCTTAATCTCTTAAAGAGGAACTAGAACAAGTTGTGTTATTTCTTTCATATATAAAAATGTAACAAATTCACATGCTCTTCTTAAAATGTAAATTTTAGAATTAATTTATAAGAGTCAAATGCTTCAAACTGTCCTCAATACATTTTACAGAATACTTTCTACTTCTGTCACATTTTAGTTGTTATCTGGAATCTATCATCTGTGACCAGTACAACTAAGAACCTTAAAGTCCTTCCAAAGGTGGCAAATAAGGATAAAGAAAAATCTGAGGACTCTTAAACGGACCTTAAAGACAGAAGACCTAGCTTGAAGATAGAGTGAATTGCATGGCTGCAAAAACAGTCAGTATAATATGCCCAAGACAAAGTGGAACACAAAAATGTGGAGTGGGTAACCGGGCCCCTTTAAGAATGTCAAGGGTTTATTTTCATGTCAAAATAGCAGAAAGGGATTTTTTTCTGCATTAAAGTATAGCAACTGTAAATATACAATAGACATAAATATAAGAATTTTCCTTAAAACGGTGTACTTGTGCGAGAGCAATAGCCAAATATATAAATCCCCAAATATTCTAACCTACAGTCCAAGCTATAGAGCCACTATTATCTGATCACTCTGGTCCTTTAGAGTGACACAGTTTCATTTACAAAACCGCTCCAACAGAAGCTACAGACTCTCAATGTCTTGGCTTGGCAACTTCCTTTTCATAGTCCAACACCTTAACAGATGGTCAAACCTGTTAAAGAAAAACAAGTTGTACACAACACAGACAACGTTACAAAGTTCAAAATGCACACTATGTTATTAAGAAGTAAAAGAACTATATTTAAGCCAGTAAAATGTAATTTTAATCTAAAAGCAGTGATGCATTTCTAAATGTTTTACCTAAAAGGAAAGTGATGTATAAAGGGCATATTTTAAAGGTACCTACATACCTTTGATTGCAGATCTAAACTGTTTCCTAAATGTTGGAGATTATTTGACTTCCAACATCCTTTTTCAGTTAGTTATGTCACAACTACTCTGAGGAATGTTTATTTTAATCTGAAAATCCAGTCATCTGTGCATACAGTCAGAGAAAAATTCAGAGTGCATGCCACTGCGCTAAAAAGGAATCATTCGTCTAAAGAATGAGGAAAAGTTTGGCAAATACATCTGTACAAATAACTATTAGTTATAGGATTTGGTTATTTTGCAATGAAAAACGCTCATCCAAAATTGACCATTTAATACGAGTGTATAAACCATGTAGACAGGCTTTCTCTTTGTAAAATATATTTTAAAAAAAAGCTGGCATAACAATCCATCCTTAAGATGTAGTGTTATGTGAAAATTATACTCAAAGCACTGATGTTGCAAAGAACAATTAGTGCCTTAAACCTATATCGTTATTCTTTTGAATATTTAGAAATAACCGACCAACACAAATTTAGTGTTGTGGACTTTAAAGGCATTAAATTCCATTCCCACATCAGATCAATGAGTTATGATATTTCTGAATGCCTTTAAGTGTATTTGTAGATATTAATCTGCACTATATTAATTACAACTTCTTGCATTCCATTGTGAATTACTATTTTTGAAACTTTTCAAAATTGAATAAGAAAATATACACTAAATATTTGAAGTACACAATATTGGATAAAATAAGAAGTTTTCTAATTCACCAGGAATGCTACAAGGATGGATTAGAATCACAATCCAGTTGACTTCCCAGGGGTTTGACTACCATATCACAATGACAAACATCTAATTAATGCACCTCATTAGACTACTCTCTTGGAAGGACATCATGTACTGTATGTACAGGATTAAATAGGGATTATTTCTCACTACTTTCACTAGTTTAAGATCCAGCGTTTGAGTTTCTTAGCTACCGCTTTTCCAAGTCCTCACTACCCAGCCACACTTCAGCCACAGTCCATTATCTTTAAAGCCGTCCATACCTGTTAAAGAAAACATGTACATAACACAAACACAAGTAACATTTGAGATAAACACTCCTATATATCCTTCCCATTACTGAATGCATCCACACATCCAAATCTTCTGTTCTGTGGCCATTTCAGGTTTGTTTTGTGGGATTCTGGGATGCCACATGATAGGAGAAGACATTAAAGTTAAAATCCTTACCTTCATTGCATGTTTGATTATGTGAAGGACATTAACAGGTGCACTAAAAATATTTGATTCTTGATGTCTTATGTAATCCATGTTTAAATGGATGACATTTTCTTCAACATGAAGAAAAAAACAGAAAAGGCTACAATGATCAATCAGCTAGTTGCTGTGTGAGGTCAGCAATTAACCAGCTTCCACCAACTACAAAATTATAACTAATGTTGAATGAAAAATACTTTCAATGATTCACAGAATGTCAAAGTTAAAGCTAGTGGAATAGAACAGAGCCAAGTTAATACACGCAAAAAATAAAATCTGCTTAATAACAAAAGTTGAAATGATTAAAAGATCAAAATTACTTACATTCACTTTTCAGGCCATCTCTTACCAGACAACTCTGACAAAAGCTTGTAAAGGTAGGCTTGTGAATGGAGGAAGGTGTCCATTTAATTATGGCACTCAATTTTGGTTGGGCCATCCTTACATTATTACTGTTTGAGCAGTCCCACAATTAGAAAAAAAAAAAAAATTGGACTTCTTGTCTCTTGATCTCGTGCTGTGTTTGGAGATAATGTGAATATCCTAATAGTACAGGATATTACTGCCATTATAATGGCAGGTGCCATTAAAGTCATTAATGCAGGTACAGCTAAACATTTCTGCAGAGATGGAGAATGGGTTCTCCTGAATGTAACCCAATTTGTCATACAAGTCAGTCTGAGAAGGGAATAGTGATAAATTTATCACAAACAAGGCAGGTCCTCGGAAAAAAAACAGCACATGAGTCCTGTTGACAAAGTTGATACAATAGCCTTGGAGTCTCTAGTTTTAAATGAGATAGTAGTGCTGGTTTGTCAAAAGTTAACTGATACACAAAAACATATCAGTGAAATAGAAAAGATGCAAATCAGACTGTCGTTTAAGCCCACTGCACACATCCATGCGGTTTTGAAAACTAGGGCATCCTATGTGCTCTTGCAAAGGGACTTATTGTCTTTGTGCTGCTCTAGCAAAATTAGAGCTTTATAACTGAAAATCATTTTCCAAAATCCAACAGTGACTCAGTCATTTATGACGTCACAGCCTGAAAAGTCAGATCTCTGATGAACCATTGGTTGCTAGTTACTGGACTTTTAGAAATTCTAAGACTTGACATACGTTTCCAAGTATGGATGTTCCAAGGCGTTTAAGTATAGTATGGACATATCTGATGTCAAGATTTGCCACTGGACTTCCCCAAAGATACATTTTACACACAAACTTTTATAGACCTATAATATGCCTCAAGTCCGTCCATAACCATTATTGACTACATTTACATACAATTGTATTACTTCAACTGATGCAGAAACGTGGTGCTGTTTGAACTACTACCACTTAAGGTTAACCTAAACACCTTAAAGAACCTATAGGAGTCCAGAATCACATCAGTGCACACTTATCGAAACCTTCATTGTTATCAAAATTAATCCTTTACATAACGATACTGAAACCGCTACAATTTCATCCCAATTTAACAACATCATCCATTTTTATAGATGGTGGCATTTGCTTTGTGCATTTTTTATGACAGTTATCCTTCTGAAAGAAGGCCTCACAAATGCTAGTAATAACAGAATGAACTGCATGTAAATGTAGTCAATAACTCCAGCTTCCAAACATGCACACAAGGACACACACTTGAGTGGATTTTGCCTGTCTAAGACAGACTGTGCGGTTTCAGCACTATGTTTCTGTAAGACCACTGTTAGTCACACAGTATTACACAGGTTTTCTCAAAGGTTCCATGTGTGATATTTCTTCTGTCCTGAGCCAAGACTGTAAAAGCAGAGTTACTCATTGAACGCAACATAACTCAGAAAAGGCCTCTCCTAAAAACCAAGAAAAAGCCTAAAAGTTCCCCTTTTTCAAAAAATAAAAGGAAACATACTTGTTTGAAAACAGGGTTATAATATCAGAGCCACCCTGCATTATTAAAAATAAATGAAGTTCTTTAAAACGAGACTGTGACCATTTTAATAACAGATTTCTAAAAATGAATCTTAACAACTTTTTCTTAAAAAAACAAACAAACAACAAAATGCAAATGCTATCGCTAATTTACAGGAAACGTAAAAATATTAAAATGTGTTAAATCTTGTTTTAATTAACTTTGCAATGATCTGGAGAACCCTGTTCAACACTGCTTCCCAGTCTAGAGTCTTTTTAAGCAGGTGTTAAATATATGATTATTCCTTTGAAATATATTGTAAAAATATTTATTCATCAATGTGGGAATTTGCTGATTAAAGCTATGTTGTACTTGCAGCTAATTTCTGTCATACCACGAGTTAATTATTTTCAGACTGTGTACGCATCACTGAACTAAAGCGGACAGGACTTGAGAAAATAACACATAGAATCTTTAAGAGCTAATGTGGCAGAGTAACCACATTATTCAACTTCTGCAAACAGCCCATTGCTACTTTCTGAACGTACTACACGTTTCATTTTTAAGAATAAAAGGTTAAAGGTTTTTCCTGATTGAACCAATGTCTCTTTATTATAGTACATGCGTTGACTCCAAATGCATGGCACAAAACACAGCCATAGGAAGTTCAGAAAAAATGTTACAGTTATCACTTCACGACGACTCACAGAGCATAACACATCTTTAAAAAAAAAAAAAAAATTATACATGGTCAAAAAAGAACAACTGGATCACCTAAGAGTAACTTCTCTTTTCAGACTAGAGACAAAGTAAAAAATGAAAATATTGACTTTCAATAACTGAGTAAATTGGCTAAAATGTTGTAACAATTTAAACTTAAATACAAGAAATTCGAATCAACATTTTTGTTTTTAGAGAAAAACTGTACAAATGGTGCTGCCGGAAGCATCAAAAGAGCAGCGTTTAAAAACGGGGTTTCTTAGCAGGACCATCAAACTCCTCGCGGACCCTGCCATACCCGGGGTTACCAGGACCCATTCCCCTCGCACCACCCGGAGTGAAGCGCTCATTGCGCTGTTGGGTGTCAATGTGCCAAGGAGGCAGACAGGAGGGTGGTAATAAGGTATGGGAAGGGTCAGTGCATAAGCACACAGTTCATGTCCATATGGAGATGTGTAAAAAAGGTATGGCACAGGTGTGATTTGTTTTATATTGTGAGTGGTTTACAAAAGAATCAGCAGGAGACACATCCGGAGAAACCGTTCGTTCCAATATGAAGGTCCACAGGTGCCACAGGTAACATACGGAAAAGGAAGAGAGGGTAATGCTTTCGTTAGTCAGTGCCTACCTAGTGTGGTCTCTTCTCCAGTGCATGCCAAGATTAGGCCGGGCATTAACGACAGCTGGCCGTATCTACTAGTTAATGGCAACAGATACATGCCTAAACTTCTGAGAGGCGGCATGAAAATAGGACGCTAAAAATATATTTCTGACATGAGGTTTAACCTCATAATTCTAGTCATTTGTTACAGCCAGAATCCAGATTTCCTTAGAAAATGTTGCATATACACACAATTTGGTGGCATCATGACTAATATTGTAAACTGTATGACTTGTGTGATCTTAAACATATCTATAAATCTGCTGCCCAGGTATCACAAAAGGGTATGGTAACTTTTAGACGGTCCCAAATGTGACTACAAAGTATAGGAACTACCAGAAATGTGTGGTCTCTCAGACAGAATGAGTATATTCGTAGTGTAAGACATTTTTCCAATAAGTAAGCAGTTCATTAATATTTACATCAATGCTAATTCAGACAACTTCTGTGAAACTAAAAGTGTCATTCTAGAAATCCAGCAGAATAGCTGAAATTTTCATTTGCAAAATGAGGCTAACAAAGAACAACTAAGGTAAGGAGAATAAAGTGAGGTAGTCAGATTGCAGAATATAAATATTATCTTGAAGTAAATGAACCTTCTGCTCATTTTACTAAACTGAAATTCAGACTGTCAGGATCACTTCCAACAGGCTTAAAACTCAAACTAATGGTCTTTAAAAGACCATTCATTTGAACTATTCAAAAGCAAATTGTGCTCTAAATTTTAAAGAAGTAAATGCTTTTCTAGATGAGTAATAAATGAAATACAGGTTCATGTTTTCAAGTCAAAATTAAGATGTCTTTAAGGACAAAGAATTTATTTTAGAACTAATTTTACAACTATGAGCAAAAAAGTATCAAGGTTATGAAGGTTTATCAAAGAATAAAGTCTGATAGAGTTTTGATTTTTGTGCTTTTTGTCGTTAATAACACAAGTTAAGGAAATTCACAGGAACAGTATCTTTCCCACCCCACAAAAAAGAAACTGTTTTTTTTTTGTTTTGTTTTTTTGCTGTTAACCAGAATCAGACAGCAATAAAGCAAAAATAAAATAAAATGGAAAATTTGGCTCTCTGAGCACAAGCCAAGTGTTTAGTTCTATTGCAGAAGAGAAGCCAGTTGTTCATCTCCAAAACTAGGCAACTCACAAATGCAAGAAAGTTGAGATGGCCAGAGCACACTACGGGCCAGGGAAAAAATGCATGTGTTGGACTTTGGGGCGAACTGTCCCCCCTTTAATTCCTACTACTGTGAGCTTCAGATGTTTTTTTGGGGGGGAAATAAACCAAACACATTCTAATATTACAGCTTAAGCAGAGCCCACTCTCCAGGTGTGCTGACTTGTTCTTAAAAAGTGGCTAACCAATTTCTGTTTAGGTAAAAGCCATTAGATTCCCAACTTCACATGCTCTAGCACTGACAGTCTTCCTTTGATATGACCATTTCAACTATTTAGTGCAGGATGGGTCATGTCATTTTTAAATGGCAGCTTTACACATTTCTAATTTCCCATCAGACCAATACCCAACCCTCTGACCGTGTACCTACCCAAGTTAGGTGGGTTTGCTGCAAACAAAGGTGCATAACTTTATAAAAGTAAAATGAACTCCATGAAGCAAGCAATTCCTAAAGTGTATTTAAAATGCCTTAAGGCAGGTATGTCAAACTCATTTTATACCGTGGGCCACATAACCCACTTTGAAGTGGGCCTAACCAAGAGACTCTTATTTCCGTCAGTCTAAGTTAGCTTAATTACACATGAGCTACCCATTATAAAAAACAAATGTCAATAGGCCTCATGTTTGACACCCCTGCATTAAGATCTAAATTAATGGACTGTTATTAAGACTTTTTTTTGGTAACAAGTCTTAATAATACAGAAACCCTATTTTTAAGTTCAAGCATTACTTTTTATTCAGGACTATAGAACCTTTTTATCCGTCAACTGTGATACAGAAACGAATGACTTCAGGTCTAAATTCTGCCAGAAACAAAAATCCCAGGCTCGGTCCAGTTTTCAGCGACATCATCTGAACAAAGTCACAAGGCTACGCCAGCCCCCATCAGTTAATCATGCTGTAATCTTTGTCAAACTCAAAGCTTTACACCGTCATCAGGCACTAAAAGTGTTACAAGGTTTCAAAGCTCAATTACAAAAAGAGATACTGATGAGAAGGTAAAGGTTGCTGGTCCAGAAGTTTTCCACCACACTTCAACGCCCCCCCCCCCTCAAAAAATGTAATTAAATACATTTAAGGGTGGAAAAAAGGAAGCCTGTTCACACACAACTTCAGTTCTCCTGATAGACAAATGAGGCATGAAATTGGTAGTAGAAAAATGGGAAAATTTAAAAAAAAATAAAAATAAAAAAAATAATACTGGATACCAATGCTCTCCTCAGTCAAGAAAACGTGCCTGTCCAGCTCACATAAGACAGGGCTTGCAATAGCAGTCCACTACACAAACAGCATGATAGGAGTGAGCAGAGTCAGCAAAGTTTTTCTACAGCTGTTTGAAACACACTGAGATGATCATTTAGTGCAAGCTGACGGTTTTATAGCTTAAAAGCAGTAATGGCTTGTGGGACTATTAACTGAGGGGGCTCGGCTTGCTACTGAAAAAGGAAAACAAACAAACCCAATAAAAGCAGTGAGCATGTGTCACATTCAACAACCAGAAAGCCATCCAGTGATAGCTGAGAACACAAATCACTCATTCTGCCATCCTGCTTAGACAACTGGACATTGTGTTAACACGAAGAAAGGAAGAAAAAAAACAAAACAAAAACACGGCTGGGAGTCTCCAACCAAAGGGAAAGCCAAACAAAACTATATTAACTACTGAAATTCCCACAAGTGGGATACATTACCATTTCGTTGCCCATCAGGCCTCCTGGTCCTCCCATTCCCTGCTGACTCTCAAAACCAAGCCCGCTCATTGAGAATTTCTGTGAGGATCCACCAAAGGACATATCTAAAGAGCAAACAGGAAAACATGTTAGGTAGTCATACAGCACATGAATTAAAAAATACCAACGCTACCCCTCAGCCTCCTACTACACACCCCTATTTATCCATTTCAAAAATTGTACGTCTCCAACTTAGGATTTGACTCCATGCCGCCTGCCCATCTGTGTGACGACAATACCCCACCAGTCTTTACGCCTGAGGAGTAAAACCTCAGGTACATCCTGCTGATGGTAAAGCTGCCTCAACAGAATTTCAAGAGCTATAACACTCGCATAGATACTGGTCTGAATACTGATACTGATCTAATATTTGACTCAGCTATCAGCAGCTTTACAAGCTACAAGCCTTACAAGCTAACATAGCCAGCTGTCATTTAGTTGCTAGGGGGAAATGTAATGTAACACGAATGAAGTTGACACCAAAGCAAGTACCAGTTTAGAAACGTTTAACACCTGCTACCCCCAACAGCTTCTATTTGCATGCTTGCAGAAGTTGTTTTTTTGTTTGTTTGTTTTTAAATACACTACTGACAAGCCTACACATAGAGCACTGACGTTGTTTGTACATTTCCTACCAAATCTGGTCTAACAAAATCAAGTCTTCCCTTCCCTTCCTGCATTTATTTATTTATTTATTATTATTTTTTTTACACAGACCTACTTTATGAGCTTCCTTCATACTTTACATTTAGATTTTATTGTTTTAGCTCTTTTTTTAATTTTACTTTTTCTTCTTATGGAATTGTTCTACCTTTGTGTCATTTTTAAAATCATACTGGTCTATTTTGTCCATTTTATTTCACTAAACTCTACTTCTACTTAAAAAAATAAGCTAATTTATTACAGAATGTTTAATACTTCATTTGCTGTAAAGAAGGAATAGGCTGGAATTGTCTTTTTGCAACTTATGCAACACTGTGCATTTCTTCATCTAATGCCTAAAATGTTTGGGTCAACTTTATAGCCACTGTGGTGTCTGGATTTCTGTCATGATTTCTTAATTTAAACAAAAGACACTTACCACCCATGCCCAAAGCTCCACCAGCATGCATTCTCATTTCTCTGTCCCTCTGTAAAACAAAGAAATTAAGATTAATGTAGGCAGTAACTGGTTGTTGAACTGACTGTTTTTGACTCCCAAGTTAAGTTTAACTTACATCCATAAAGCTGCCCATCCTGTAGTTCTCCTCACGCTGACGGCGCATCTGTTCTTCCAACTCTCTCTTCCGAAGCATCTCCTCCTCCTGCCTGCGTCGCTCTTCCTCTTGTCTGTTTAAAAATGCAAGATAATTAGTCAAATGTAGTCCATGTTTTAAAAGAACTCAACACCTGTTCCAAACAACAACCAGCTGCAATTTAATGACATAAAATACCTGAGCTGCATTTCCTTTCTCTTTTGCATCTCCTGATTGTGCATCTCCTCCATACGTCTCAGTTCTTCCTGTCGCCTCAACAGATCTAAATGAAAACACAATGCATTACATTTACAACAGTAGGATAACCCACATCTAATGAGTGACATATATAACAAATTATGAGAATTGCAGGTCTTCCATATCTAAACTTGCCTTGACGGAGCAGATTGGCCTGGTGCTCGTGGTAAGCATCCTCCATCTCGCTCTCGAGTTTCTCACGGGCCTCACGCATGTTCTTCTCCACCTGTTGTCTTTGCTGCTTTTCCATTTCATCAAGGGATTTCCAGCGCTTTGCATACTCAAACTCAAAAGTGCCTGGACGGGCAAAGCGAGGAGGCTCCTCACGCTCTCTAAAGACACAAAGACCATAACGTAGAGTACATTAGATTGACAGGAACATGTCAGCATTCACCTGAGTTACTAAAAAATGGCATTGAAAAATCTTCTAAAATAAAACAAATGCAAAGTGAAACTTTAGTTTTACTACCCCATACTTCCTCGTTTCAATGATTCAATAGTCGTCAATTTTATACTATATGCAATGGTTTAGTTTTCTGTTGTTTGCCAATGTGGGATTTTACTCAGATTAACATCTGCAGAGCCTCAGAGAAGGTTGACCTTTAATAGTTGAATCCACCACCCCCACCTTCCCCATCCCACCATCTGCTACTCGCAAATAAATGACCTAATGACCCGAAGAAAGTAATTTGCATGATAAAGATGATTGCGTCAAGAGACCAAAATGCACCTGCTTCAAGACCTACTCATAGTTCATTCCACTGGCTATTTTATGGTGGTGTTAATATGATTAGTACAACTTAAGGAAAAAATAAGATTTCCCTGCCATCTCCATAATGTTGCACCAAGAAGAACAAACCAGTACTCACGTTTTATATTTGGGGTTCTTCTGTGCCAACTTCTCTGGAAGACCATCTTCACTATCGTACTGCTCCAGAGGCTCGACAACAACAGGCCGAGGAGAACTGCAGAAGGTGAAATACATTTTTTTTTTAAAAAAAAAAAAGAAAGAAAAAGAGCAAGGGCTTCAAGAACCTTTTACAAATCTCTTCCACCTCAAATACCCCCCCTCCCCCCTCTACTCAACTAATATAATTTGACTTACGTAGTGAGCAGAAAGACCCCCTCGTTGCACCTCTCTAAAGCCTTTCTGGCAGCAGGTCTGGAGGCAAATTCAACGATTCCTCTGCCCGTGGAGCGTCCACGGTCATCTACAACCACGATGGCCCTCTCTACCATTCCGAACTGTGAGAAAGCTTCCTCTAGGAGTTCATTGGAAACAAATGGTGACAGATTCTTTACAGACAGCGCTGCAGAGTGTGTAGCAAATCGGACACGCAAGGGTCTGCCCTTCATCGGTGTGTCATCCAGCTCAGCTTTTGCTATCTCTGCAAGTGCCCGAGATTCCTAGATAAAAGAAAAATGTTATTTAAAAGAGTCCCTTTACTTATTACAGTATTACAGAAACCTGTTTCAATTCAAGTGTGTGACCCCTTACCAGTCGGATGAAACCAAAGCCTTTCCCCTTGTTGATAAAGACCTCAGTGGGCTCCCCATATTTTGCAAACATCTTCCTGAAATCGTCCTCTGTGATGTCGTTGGGCAGGTTACCGACAAACAAGCGGCACCGCTGTGTGTAGGACTTTTCACCTGGCTTCAGCAACATGGACAGCGTCGCCTTGAACTCAGCCTAAGAAAAACAAGACCGAAATTTTTAATTCGTATACATATATAGAAAACAGAAAAATATACAAATTATTTGACGCCCAATAGATCATCATTTTCAGATGACTTTTATGTTATGACTTGTGCTCGTGTCCGTATTTGGATGTCCGTTCGCCCATCCCCCTCACTCCCTTTGTGAAGTAAAAGAAAAAAATCCAACTCGGAAAATAATATGAAATACCACTGTCGACAATTTTGGGTGAACTAGCCAAAATTGTTCAGGTTAACAGATGAAACCCATCACTGAAAATATATTTTTCCTTTTAAAAGCGTTAAAATAGAACTAATTTCTATACTTGAACAAGATGGCCGCTAGCTAAAAGCAATAACGTTGCGGGATGTATTCTTTAAGCACCGCGACTGCCCGCCGGAGCGAGCGCCCGACTGCTTCCCTAATAACTAAGGATAACACAAACAACTCCGCCCGACAGGGCTGTTTAAAGTGTCATATCGAGCACCACGCGGCTGCTTTGGCTAGTGTTAGCAGATAGCGACTGCCGACGCCACTTGGGCGTTTATAAAAATTAAGATAAAACTAAATAAAGCAAACCTTAGATTGGCTCTCTTCTGACTGACTTGCGTCATTGTGCATGGTCTCTCGTGACTGTTGACTGACTTTCATGGCCGGTGGCCCTGTATTTTGGCCTTGTTGAAGTCCTGGTCTCTGGCCTTGTTGAGGTCCTGGCTTCTGGCCTTGCTGGGGTCCCGGTTTCTGGCCCTGCTGGGTTCCCGGTTTCTGGCCCTGCTGGGGTCCTGGCTTCTGGCTTTGCTGAGGGCTTGGTTTCTGACCTTGCTGCGGCCCAGCTGCTTTCGGGCTTGGGTGTGGAGTCGGCTTCTGCTGCTGACCGTTAGCATTTGCCACGGGTGACTTCAGCTGCTGGTTCAGGTTCTTGTTTGCCTGGTTTGGCTGAGGGGAGGTCACGTTAGGTGTGGGTGGTGGTGACTGAACTTTCGGCTGGGGCGCAGGGGTAGTGGATTTCTGCTGCTCTTGTGCCGGTTTCTGTTGCTGTTGCTGCTTAATCGGGCCTTCCATCGTGAGAGCCGGGCCTGGAGTCGGCGGAGGGATGATGGGTAGCGACTGGTTCTGTTGCGGCTTCTGGGGAGTGTTCTGCGATCCTTGTTGTGTTGGTCTGTTGAAGTTGTGCCCCCTCCGGTTTTGATTTTGATTCTGGAAAGGATTATGCCTAAAATTTGGGTTTCCCATAAGTCCACCTCGCATGGGGCCGCCGGGCCCACCTCCTCTGCGCGGCTGGAAATGATTCATTCCAAAGCCGCCACGATTATTGTTGAATCGAGACATTGGTCCTAATATATAGGCAAAAATTATTTTTAAAATACCAAAAGAATTAAAGGTCTACTGCTCAACAACCACCTCCAAAGGCTGTTCGCAGATTCTCAAAATGGCGACCAATAGTTAACGAATTTTCTTTCTTTCTCCAGTACGCAGACGTCTGGCTCCGCCCAGTCCCATTGATTGGTCCGTTGCCCAGGAGGCGGAGTAAGAGTTTTTCGAAGGAGCCAGTCCTGAAATCACCAATTCTGCTCTCTTATGTATGTAAAGAGGCGGCCATTGCTCGAATGAAAGAGCTGTTAAACAACACTCCATCATTGCTCAAAGAAATCTGAAACAATTCGTTGTCACATAGCTATCTGGTTGGTGTTGTAGCCTGCACAGTGGAACAGCCCCACAGTGACTATTGCTGACTTTATGACCCAGATTATGCATAAGAAGGGTATCCTTTTTATATGCATTTCACTTTAAGTTAAAGCACATGAATACACTTTATATATCTGGCCCTTGATGTGATTTTCACTTCAATGTGTGGCTGCTAGTGGAACTGACACACTCCTGCTCCAAATAAAGTCACGGAAACAATCAAACACGGATTAAACGGGTTAACAGTGAGCATTGTCCAATGAAAGTAAGAATAGGTTTTTCCTCTACAGAGAAGAAGCTCATAAAAGTCATCAGGCTTATAAATTTACAGTTACCAGCACCTCAGACTAAGCTTTCAGACCCATTTGAACAACAGCTGTTTGTAGGGGTTTGTGTTAATCAGTCCTTGCTTAAAAAACATTAGTGAGAAAACTATTGAGAAAGAAAATCCTTAAGGACTTGTTTAGAATTTAGTAGGTTGATTTTTAGATTTATTAGTAAATATGTGGCTTAACGATTTAAAGAGAATTCAAGGTAACTCTTAACTGGGCGTTCATATCACACTGCAGTGACACTGGGGTTTGCCTTAGTGGGAAATTATTTTGCTTTTAGCATTTCTCTAGCCCACGTAACAAAAACTATCATAAGAGAGAGACATGGCAGTCAACAAATCCTGGACTGAATTTTGTGGGAGAGTTGTGCAACAGCAAACATGGTGGTAGAAGTAGAATGTCCAGGAAGAAAAAACACATGTTAAAACCTTACTAAAAAGAATTAAAAAGACCTCTGCTCAGTTATTCGATCACCTGAATGTTGAAATGTCTGTGGGCAAGACACTAAACCTCATGTTTCCCCTGATGTATCCAATGTGCCTGTTGATTAAAAGTGCTTAGGCATGAAAAAAGCACTTGAATAATGTGGGTGAGTGAGGCTTGTAGTTAGAGAGTGCTCAAATTAAGAAGAAAAGTACCATAGAAGTACTGCACCACTTCAGTCCCTTGGCTATTAGATCACACATCTCTGGCAGATGTAATTTAGACAATTTATGTTATTGCCATTTGTCTATTACCTCAGTGTTTGTTGATCTGTAACTTGACATGTAACAGTGTTTGTAATGAATGTTTCAGGTTTGTAGGTTATGCAGGTTAGCTGCAAATGATTTTTTTCCTGGGATCAATAAAGTGATCTGAATCTATACAAACTCACATGTGAATCCAGTGTTTACTATGAGCTACAGTCACCCAGTCTGAGTCCTAAAGCACTTAATTTAGTGTCTTTAAGCTTCTTTCCATCACACATGGCTACCTTCTGAGTCACAGCCACCCTTAACCTAACTGGCAAGGCATGTGAAGGAAAAGCCGGCACGTGCTCCAAGTATGTGGGAACTCCTTCAAAACTGGCTTCAGTGGGAAAAGCTTTTCTTCAGAGCAAAAGGAGACACCTTTGACGGACTGACAAGACTTAAAACATCCTCAAAGACCAACTTTTACCAAGGATCAAGGTGTAATTTCTCTCCATTTTTCACCACGATGGAGTAAAAAAAACGAACTTTGTAACTAAGTGGCTGCAAAATCATCAAATTCAGATTTTGAATCCAAGGCTACATTCCTCAGATGTTAATCGGATTGCAAATCCATGGTTAATCCTTAAAAAGCAAGTGGACGAAGAAGCCCACAAACTATGATCAAGTTCAAGCTCCGATAGGGCAGGAATGGATCATCATCAATCAATATTCGACCCAGAAGCTGATGTGCTGCATGTCAGCAAAGGTTAATGCTGATTCTGGGTAGATGTGACTTATTTATCAATGAAAGTCTTTGATCTGTCTACGTCATATCATAGAAACATTCAAAATAATCAAGTGTTTGAAACGCTGCCCATGACCGTTAAAGTATTATTTTAGAAGGTAGAAGAGAGTAAAAATATGGAAACCCCATGAGTGTGTATGAATCTGCAGATACACATTTAAAAAATGAGTGACGCTCAACTCAGATGGACTTTTTTCTTTTTTTTTTATTACGCATACAGGTGTTTTGGAAACAAACAAAAAAAAAGGAGAGACCACCTCAGCCTCACCTGAACACGTTTCCTTAATGCTCATCATTATAAACCAACACAAAAAAGGATGAGATGACAACAGTGACAAAACACAACGTTAAAAAAAAACAAACCACAACAATACAACCCAGGAGAAAAGACACGAGACGAGAGGAACAAGTGGAATGATGAAAGAAAAAATGGCAAACACATCAAAGAGAAGATAACGGACCGCATTAGAGCAAAAAAATAAGAAAAATACACAAGGAGTCGAGGAGATGAGAGACACATTCATCGAGTTGTGAACAACAATCAAAACAGATGCCTTTCGTCCTTCTCTACTGGTTTTTTGTTTTAAAATCAGGTTGGGAACAGCGATACAGCAGAACAGGAAATTAAGAAGAGAGCAAAATCAATATTCACAAAGGAAAAACTGTAAAACACCTGATATATATATATGTTTAAGCACACACACGACTCCTCAGAGTTACACTCCTATGTCCAAAGATCACAAGTTGTTCAAAGATTAACCTTAATTTTTTTTTCACCCTTCAATTATGTTGGACCATTTTCTTGCCAAAGTGCTCCCTTTGTATAGCCATTATTTTCTAAAGTGGAATATAATAGTGTTGCTGACCTTTCCATGTTTTATTAGTGGGGACCCAAAGGAGGGAGCGAGACTGTGTTGGTGTTATGGAAGAAAATGTAGAGGAAGTGTGTTTTACCAGAGGTTTAAAGCAAATAAATAGTGGAAATCAACAGGAATTCATGAGGAGGAGGAGGCGGCGGCTGTTAGTGGGGTGAACTGCTGCTGAAACCAGTCATGGTGTGCAGTCTGTGCAGGTTTGCAGCCATCATCAGTCATTCGCCTTTAGGCCTAAAGGAACAAACTGAGGTACTTTCACATACAGATACATAGAAAGCAGATCAACCTGCAGGTGTGCACGCTTTGAAAGAAACAGCACAGGGTAGCACAAGTATCCACTGATTAGCTTTATTTCTGTTGGACTCTGATCATATACTTCCATGATGTTTGATCACATTTATTTAAAAAAAAGAAGAAGAAAGAAGCAGCATGGCAGCCTTGTGTGCAAGATTCAGTAAAAAGAGCCATTGCTGTTAACGATGCAAGACCTGGACAGGCCGCAGTCATGATTGGAAAGGATGGGTTGGCGCTCACTATCCCCGAGTCAAACTCTGTTGGGTACCCAACACTGGTGTGAAGCTGCAGTCAGACCAGATAACAGAAGGGTTCAGGAGACAGGGCGGGTAGGATTGCAAGCATAAACAAATGGGCAATTACATGGCAGGCCTCTACAAGCTTGTAGATTATGCTGCATTTTATTTGTGTTTCTACTGCTTATGTTCATGCACCCAACTTTTAGGCTGTAGTCATAAAGCAAGAATGAATAAGAAGCCAAATCCACCTTTTTTTTCCTCAAACTCATGCACCTTGAGAGCTATCACATATTAAAGTTTCACGCGACTCCACCTGTGAAGCTAAGAAGGCACGTCAAACTGCAGGAAAAAGAATTAGGATGGATAATCTGGTCTGACTGCACCTTTAAACAGCAGTGTGTTTGCAGGCGAGTGCTAACCTGCTTATTTGCTCTGTGTTAATCTTGATTTACAAAGTCACACAGCAATGCCAGAAGGATAAGTGTAGCAATGAGTGAGAAGCTAAATGATGTAAAAATGAGGGGAAATGAGAATGAGGCAACAGACAGAAGTTGAAAAACGGAAGCCAAACAGGAATTTAATGTTTGAGTTTTCAGTGTTTCTCCCTCTGAAGGCTAAGACGTGTGAATGCAAGCACTTCAAATCAGTGTGTTTGACAAATCTGTTAACAGTATGAGTGTTGCTGGACCGCAGGAGAAGCATTTGGTTGGTTTAGCAGTGTGGGTCAAATCATCGTTATCATCGTTACTAAATATGTGCGTGTTCGTGTATGTTTGCCGTCTCGTGGATGTGTGTGGGAGGGGGTGCTCATGGCTGTTTCCTGTGGGAGAATGGCAGAAAAGGGGTGAAAGGTCAGTGTCTCAAAGGGGGTCACAGTGGGGATGAGGTGAGGTCAGATCCGGGGCAAAAGCTTCTCGATAAATTCCTTTACAGCTGCCATCTCCTGCAAGAGAGCAGACCAAATATTGGTACAGTGGAGAAGCTGAACAGATGATTCAGGACTCATCTCAGCTGAAAAACAGGCTGGACTGGAAATGTAACGCTGAAGCTGTTCACACGAATGGAGAGAGCAGACTCTACTTCATCAGGAAGCTTAGGGTTTTCCAAGAAAAATGTGTGCAGCAAAATGTTGCACTTTTTCTGTTGCTAGTACAGTTTTCTTTCTAGCCATCTGCTGGGCTGACAACATCAAAGCCCGTGACACTAGGAAGCTTAACTAGCTGTGCTGGAGACTCGTATATAGCCCACAGACTTCATTATTGAGAGAAGGACGTTCTGTAAACTCCGACAACCCTGTTTTTCTACATATATATGTGTATAAACGTTTGATTTGCAAACCTTCTTTAAGACTTTTCTTTTGATTCAAGTGTCAAACTGTTAAAATCACAGCGTTTTAGAGACATCTACATTTGAAAGAACAGGTTTAGAAGCAAATCTGAAACATTAAAAATCACGGGTAATAAAAATCGTACCAGAGACCCAAGCGGTTCTGTTTTGATCTACCTGCAAAGTTTGAGCTGGAAGAATGCATCATGGATTAAAAAACCCCCAAAACAACCCTTGTTTAGAGTTTATCCTCTAAATCAGGGGTGGGGGAACTCGAGGTCTCAAGGGCTGGTGTCCTGCAGGTTTTAGATGCATCCTTGATCTAATACAGCTGATTTAAATGGCTAAATTACATCCTCAAACTATCTTGAAGTTCTCCAGAGGCCTGGTAATTGTCTTCAAGATTTTTCTCTTGAAATAAAAATTTCCTTATCTTTATTTCAAGAGAAAAACCTTGATTTAAAGGTTTAATTAACATTGCCTAATTCACCCAGGTGGATGATGCAATGCTTTTGTTTTGGTGAAAGTAATCAGGATGTCAGAAAAATGTAAATTAGCTAAATATTTGATTCAACCTTGAAAGAAGTAACACAAGCTTTTTAGAAGAAGTTGTCAGTGTGATTTGTGAACAACAGTACCTGAGGACAGGAGCTGTGAGGGAGCCCTGGGAAGGTTTTAAAGGTAATCATTTGAGGGTTGACTATGGATTTGAGTTTTTCTGCCGTCATGGCACCAAACTGCACAGGGATCATGGCGTCCATCTCACCGTGGCACTGCAGGATTGGGAGGTTCTTATTGCCGCTTGACGCCTGTGGGACAGACATAGAAGTAGAATTTAGCTTTGAGCGTAGCTTTCTCACTAAAACCTTCTGGCAGTGTGACATGTTAAAAATCATATGAAGGTATCAGCATTGTGTTGAAAAGAGGAGCAGGCAGGAGAAGGATGTTTCTCCTCTGTAGTGAAACTGTGACTGTACCGATGGGAAACTCCTGTGAAGTGGAAGCCAGCAGCTGAGGGCCACAACACCAGCCAACTGGTGCTGGCAGGTCAAGGCGGTATACAAGGACAAGGCCCCACCCTGAGGAGCAACACAGGAAGCAGACAACCTTTAATAGATGCATTTACAATATTGATCTTGTATATATAATAATGTAAATGCAATTCACAACATGTAGCACCAAGACAAAAAAACCCACCTGAGAGAAACCGCCAAGTATTATACGGTTTGGAGGGATCCCATTTCTGGCCTCGTGCTCGATTATGGCCTTGACTGTGAGAAGCAAGAATAACCCGTTAGTGAAGCCAAACAAAGGGGTGGGTAGCGTAGAAGAAGGAATAAATAAGTCTGATGTGGCAAATTTCCAACAAAAATGTTCCACTTGACTTCCTGTCAACTTTGCAGCTGGCTTAAAAAAATGTAATCCATACTTGGCATGTGGATATTCAAAGAAAAAGGTTTTTATAGCTGCTCTGAAGAGGGTGAAGACAGTCTTCATACACAGCAGTGACATTTTATAACAGTCTAAATAAGAGGATAACAGCACACACTTTTAGAGATTTTCTCTTTTAAGTTTTTTTTTTGTTTCGTTTTTTACAGACAAGTACATACGCAAAGACTGTGAACATTTTTCACAAACTAACTAATCACAGTGTCAACAACATCCCTTTTAAATCGCCTACATAACATTAATCTTACTATTAAGTATAATCAAGCCTCTCATAGTCTTACAGTTGAATTATATTTTTTAAATTTTATTTACACAGCACCAATTCACAACTACAGTTGACTCAAAGTGCTGTATTCTTAAATGTTCATTAAATAATTAGACAAATTGCGGGTGTGTGTTAAACCTTAAATTTTTAGCAGAGTTTTTGATCTATTTAACAGCAGGGGGATTTATGATGTAAGCGTTTAAAGCATTTCTAAAGATTCTCAAGTCTCAAATCTGGAGGCTGGGAGGAGACCCAAATCTCTGGTGGGACAATTTGTGTCTATGAACAAGAACAATCATCCATTAAACATTTTGCCCTGAAGTTGCACTAAAAATTCTCAGATTCACAGACTTATTTTCGAAGCTTGGCTGTTAATAATATCATAAAGAGGGGATAATTTATAGGGTCATCTTAGGCATGCAGCTCTAGCTGTGCCTACAGAGCCGCTGCCTTCCTGATGCTCAAACATTCTGCTTGTGAGGGGCAGCCAATCAGAAGAAAGCTGTCTTAAAGGTGGAGGAGCTAAAACAGCTTGTTTCAGAGTGATCTAAAAGGCTGCACCAAGGCCCAGTATCACATAAAAAGGGATTATATTGAGCTATTAGTGACAGAAATGTATTGCAGTAGAGCTGGAAAGCAAAATAATAGGTGCACTTTAAGTATTTCACATTTATATATTTAATGGTGTAAGCACCCTCTTTAGCTTAAGCCATTATTCAAGGAGTTAAGGTGCATACAAGAGAAGATACTAACCACTAAATAGAGGGATGTAAAACCAGACTGAAGCTGCAGGAGTCTGGAAGCTTTCCAATCACCGTTTAATGACAGCGTATTAGTGCTTCCCTGCTATTATCAACCCACACACGTGGCCCTTGTTCGATATTTAAACACATTAAACTCACTGTTTTCTGCTGCCTTCTTGATTCCAGATTCGTCCTCTGGAGAGTCGGGGCTGAGACCCATGAGGTCAAACCTGCACACAAGTAAAGCCCAGCGTAAGGAAAATGAATGGATACAATTGCAGTATTGTCAATGGCAATATGGGAGGCTATTGTGGTTTCCAGGGAAACAATGGCATCCAGTGTTGAGCTAAAAGGCCGCCTCTTTCATCACGCCAACTCACCACGCGGGCATCATCGACTTCATGTTGAGTGTAACGGGAATGGGGGGCCTGCAGCGGAGGAGAGGCAATGAAAACATGACGAGAAAACAGCAGCCAGGAGCTATGTTACAGTAACACATTATTAACTCCAAACGACTTGAATGACTGGCAAAAATTTGGCTTAAAACGCACCAAATAAACATTACAGAGCATTTATTTGCCTACAAGTCCTTTTTTTTTTTTTTTTTTTTTTTTTTAAATCAATCCACATAAGTCCCAACAAACAAAATTCTTAGAGGCATAAATCAAATCGTGACATGAGAAAAAAAGACTTACGCGTGGGGGCAGATAAACTTGACGTGAGGCAGCCGGATCCCAGTCAAAGTATCCGCCCACCCATGCCTGACAGAAAACAGAGAGAGAAGCTCTTTGTTCCTAATCAAGCAACAGTAAAACCACTAATATGCAGCACATCCACCCCAAAAGCATTACAACCAAGTCCATGAAAGTCACTTCAACGCTGAAGTAACGTGTGTAGAAAATTATTTCTCTTGATGTATAACGATCAGCATGCGTGAAATGATTTTTCATCTCCATTACAGAGGAGCACTAAAACTGTACTGAGGACAAGCTGTCATCATGTACTGATTTAAGTAGTTTTTTAAATTAGACATTCATAATGTCATAAATGCTGCTTTATGAAATTCAACCACATGAATGTTGGCACCAATTACACATGACTAAAGGCCACTAAATGCATGTTATTAAAGTCAAGTGCAAAAGCAGCAAGAGCCAAATGCAGGATTTTAAAATTAATTATTGTCATTAACTCTGCATCACCACCCTCTGCTACTGTGCTGTGTATGTAATGATTTGTACATTTAGGAATGTTTCTCCTGTGAATTTTCTGCTCACATTCAGCCCAATGAAACAAACATTTAAACAAAAAAAGGGAAAGACGACTCAAATTATGTGAACTATAATTACAAAGGAAAAAAAAATCAATTAGGTTTTGGGCAGCTTTTAAGAATCAGTTCATCTTCTCTTCCATCTCTGGCCTGCTTTCAGCCTGGCTCCCATTTTTAGATCACTCCCTGGAAATCCTGTTTTGACCACTTCATCACAGACCTCAGCTTCTCTTTCAAAGTGACATGGTTTGTGTGTGATGATGATGATAACCTATATTAACACACATATCTGCGTACAGTGTTGGGGAGTAAC